GAGTGAAGGGATGGGGGAAAGGGGGGGGGGGGGGGGGGGGCACGTGCCCCTTTGCCCCCATGGGTTCGGCGCCAGTGGAGATGTAGATATTGAATGAACATATACATTGAAACTGTGAAACGTTAAGTCCGGTCACGTCACCTCTACGATGAGTCTGTAGGAATAGCTGCGCATAAGACCTAATTGCTGCTTAAGAAAGATCTTTTGCAGCCCACTTGAGAACTGAATTTCATCGCACTACGACTGCCTTATTATACATATATACCTATCCAGTTAGTTGAAAAATAATTGTATTAGTTATATGCAAATGCGAATTATCTGTATGCAAATGATATCGTCATCAGCGCTGCCAATAAATCATGCGTTTCTTTTGTGTAACGTTTTCCCCATGACGTCCTGATACTATTTCCCAAGTTTCACTGAACTGCGGTGCATAGTTCCCAGGCTAGAGTGACGTACACCCGCCAAACGACTTTATAACCACCCTGTACCTGAATATGTAGCCATACGAATTTTGGAAGGTGTATTATCGACATACGGTGCCTACTCGCTGTCACTCGCCCATATATCAAAATAAAATGAATACAATCATATGCTAGATTTTCCTAGTTTATGCGGTCTGGTCATAGCCTCCAAGGCATCTAGTTATGCCAGTAGATTTTTGATGACTGCTCGATGACAAGAATTAAGCATAGGTATGATTTTGGCTGATGGCACTCTCTGATATTCACCCGATCGACAGCAGATGACTCTGAGCTTCCCATCGCAATCGAACTGCTCGTGGTCGAATAATACCTGTCTAGGTTGTGAAGTATGAACCAGAAAATATTGATGTAGCTGTGGAAACATAACCAACACAGGTCCTAGATCAATGGATAGGTCTCCAGACCCGACTCCGATTGGCTATGCCCAGTTTCCATAGGAACAAGTAGAAATAGCCTGAACTGATAGCCAATTTCACAATTGTACAATGAGGCAGTCGCAAGGGTTCTTTTTCTCCTGTTCAATCTTAGGATTCCAGGTAAAGTGGGCAGTACGGCAACTATCCGCGTCACCTCCGCAAGATGCTAAGAACTGGAGGAAAGAAATGTCAAAAGGCCGCTGTAGTACCTCGCAAAACAATATTTTAAAATATTGGTATGAATTTTGAAAGTATCCCAAGTAGTACATTGACTCAATAGTGGCTCATCAATATGATGCGCTATTAATGACATCGACTAAAAGGTTTGAGAAATGTCGGGAATCAACGTGTGTGATCGCCGGACATTTCGATGCCAGGTCGATTCCCCAGACAACAGCACACCGATCTTCGTCATGCTTGTAAGCAGCATTCGGTCAAAACCGGCCCAACGTCAGCATTCGAGAGACTAGAACTGGGAAAACCTTTAAGGGTCCAATATCCTTGATGTCTAGCATGTATCTAGTCACGACAAACGACAAAAGGCAGGCAGAGAACATGAAACGAACCAGTTGACGCTCGTCCTCGAGTCGAATGACGTCATAGCTTTCCGATACGACTAGGATCTTTCCGTTTGTGAATTTGCCCGATGAGGAAACACTCAACGAGTGTGCCCGAAGCCCTCTTCCAAAAACAGGTACATACATGTACAATGTTTCTCAGTGAGAACTCAGCAGAATATTAGACACTAGCGGAAAAATGCAACACACTTCTCTCAAAATTATTTGTACGCGTTGCATAATCTTTCGTACCCTTCCTACGATGATATGGCAGGAAGGAATACGAAACATTATGCAATGCACTCTGATTATTTTGAAAGACCAACGAAGTATTTTGCAGTTAGTGCGCAGCAATTTGCAGCTGATGCACACATCGAAGTGATGGAAGTAAAATCAACACAATGCCTACGATAGGGTGGCGTCATAACTGTCGGCTGTGAGAGCATTGTGTTTCAATCATGAATCCAGCTGAGCAGAAAGCAATTTTCCTCCTCTTAATAACCTATTTAGAATCATGCCTTCAGCTCTTGTGATGTGATGGGAAGAAGAGGTTGTAGTGCTGTCAGTCACGTGCAGAGGTTTCTTAGTACCTGAAGCTGGATATCTCCCAATGAATTCACTACCACTACCTCTTGTTTACTGCCATACTCCCTTCGCTAAAGTGCGTATCGGGGAGAAGGCAGGGGGAAGGGGGACTGCTGAACGAGGGAAGGACCGAGGGGAGGGTGCTGAACGGGGAGAGAGCCAAGAGGGAGGGGGATCCTGTGCTCAACGAGGTGAATCTGGGTCATGAACCTCCCAAATCCTTCTACCATGGGTCTCCATGGTAGCTATGCACTCTGTCAAGTTGGAAAATACCTTTACCCACGGATAAAACGCAAGACCTAAGTCTGCGCGCATCCATGTCGCTGAACCGGAAACCCGGCCAGCCGGGTTTCCGGTCCTGTCAATTGTTTTTGCGACAGCCATCGTGTCCCGTGTGTTGCCTGCCGGTGCGGATCGCAAAAGCATTTATTTAACGTGGGACGTTGCAACCCGCAATTTCTGCTGTTGCATTTATCTCCAACCTCAACTGTCTACGGATACATCGTCCATGCAGGTTCTTCGCGGCTAAGTGTGTAGACCCACACTCAAGTAAAGCGGCCGCTTCACTTTAGTATGGGTCTGCACGTTACTGAGTACTGTACTGTCCTTCGCGAAAACCTGTCTTAGTAATTACTCGAGCGTGATACTGTGTACACGAGGGTATTCTTGACTGGGCGCCCGTGAAAAATCCAGTTGGACATGTACCATTGGTCAAGGACGTATGCAGGGACAGATAGCATCGTGTTTGCGAAATACGACATCTTGTCTTGATCCGAGTTGCATACGAAAGGACCTGGGTGAAGGAGACCCGCACATATCAAGCGTACCTAGAGTCTCATTGTATGGTAAGCTGGAAAACACGAGAGATATTACGAAAGGCCTGTCTCGGAAGGAAGAAGCCGAAAGAGTTTTGGGGCTTGTATTCGCTTTATAGCAAGTCCGTACCCCTCTCCTCCAGGACTGATGCTTGGTCTTCACTCATCGTAAGATGACCACGATGATCATCGTAATCATTGCTTATCTACATCCCATGAAAATGGGTATCATAGTATAGTGTACGCGCTCGATGGTCTTGATTTGTCATGGGCATGTGACGCAAAGCGAATCCGCCATACGACGCAATGATATATAAGGCTGTATTTAATTGTATCGTCAGAAAAGGCTCTCTCGTCCATGACCTCGAGTCGCCAGGACTGACGATCGTAAGATATGTCGTAGGTAGTGCAAAGGGTCATATGACGAAACTGGCATACTGAGTGTCTGGTTCTCTTCAAGAACCATCGTGATTGAATGTGCCTCCTGCCTCCCCTCTTCCGTAACGCATCATAAACTCAGCCAAAGCAACCCATATCTACGACGGTTGATACGTGGGAGGTCAAAGTTAACATCGCGCGTTCGCTCTACTCATGACCATCGCATTTCTGTCTTCCCGTTCGCCGAAGTGCGTCCAGCATTGTCCCTTTCTTTCTCCGTTCTCACCTGGAAGGAGGCAAAGAGGTAGTAGAAACACCACATGATGACCACATTGTAGTATACGGATACTAGGAAGGAGACGACGGTGGACGAAAGTCCGATCCCGACTAATGCCGGATGGATTTTCTTCCAAACCCCGAGAGACCCCAATCGCAGCTTTTGACCGATGCCCATTTCCAGAAGACACACGGGGAGACCCTCAACAAACAGCATTACCACGTACGGGATGAGGAAGGCACCTGTAGATAGAGAATAAAAATCGCTTCAGGAACTCCGTACTGGAAAGACCAAACTGAAAGGCCAACGCTGAGGAAGCAAACAATTGAAACAATGAGCACGTATCGCTTTCCTCACTGTGCTTCAGTGTAGAGTACCCGTGCTTGTTGATGCCTCGAGGGCTGTCATCACTCGGGTTCGTACAGTGAACGAGCGCTAAGCTGATCGACTTCATTGAATCGCAAACCTATGGGTGGATCAGTGTTTTCCGATCAGGTGAACGCTCGGCCCCTCGATTGATCGGCCTCGAGATAGGGTCCCAACTCCGATCCTGGTTGCATGGACGTTACCGCGTCGGAATGCGAAGGAAGTATTAAAAAAAAGAGGCTACACGATCTTGACTCATTGACTTAAAGAACTCGGTGTTAACCAGATGTGCAGTAGGAATAGAAGCTGTCATGGGAGAGTATATTTACTGTCTTGTAAAATGAAACCTCATTTAGGCGGGATGAAAGGGCCTTTATTCTTAAGAACTCTTTTTTTTTCCATAGGAGTCCATGGATTTGCAAAGGGGTCGCTTTATAAGAAGTTTCAGCATTCGGGCTGAGGCCCTATCAAATCGAGGGTTAAAATGCTCTGAATGTATTTTTTTAATGTCTCCATTTCATTGATCTGATATGCTATAACAGGATCCCTATATCTCACATCTCCAGGTTCAGGATGGTTCAGGATGATGCAATTCCCCGTCCTCCCTTCGTAATTCCCATCTGTCTCGACGGAAAGATACCCATCCTCGTTGGAGAATTTTTTACATTTACTTTTAAGGGCAAGTACAAGCTGTCACATGTACTATCTAATGTGTTCCTCCTATACGGTAGTGTACGATCTCCAGAGATGTCCACGTGTGCAGTGCATTTGGATCCGTTGCTCATGCGCTTCGTGCTCATCGATCCAATACCTCGTTACAACTTCGTCATCAATTGCTCCGTAAGCCAAAACTATACGTAAGGCACGCGGTACCCCATATGCTTAGTTGAGTACATATATATGAACGGAGAGGAGAACACTTACCACCTCCGTTTTTCTGGCAGAGGTAAGGGAACCGCCAGACAGCACCCAAACCGACTCCAAAACTCACAACACCCAAAAGATACTGGATCTTGCTGTCCCATGCTTCTCTTTCCACCACAGCCTCACCGGAGGAGCACAAATCAAGCTTTTCATCTGGGGAAGCGACTTCGGCTGCCGCGTGTGACTTCGGTTTCCCCCTCAAACGCATCCTCCGGTTGAGCGAATGTATGAAATTAAGACTCATTTCCGTACGCGAGAAAGGAGATCCACAACCATTGCATCAGGTGGGATCACGCAGGCCTACACTACACTGCGCCGTCGCATGGAGAGGATAAGGAGCAGGAGGACAAGCCTTGCCGTATCCTAGGATCTCACTGACGAGATGAATACAGTAGTGCCTAGGTCTTGGGTTGGCTGCCTAGGCTCTAGTTCAGACTGGGGTCCTGACGCTGGCTCATAGCCCAGGCGCGCCGAGTGACGTGATGCTGCATCATGCTCTGCAACGACCCAATTCCGACAGGGAGTAGCGTGGGCGCCGTTCCCTTCTCTTTCCTTCCCCTCCCTTCCCTTCCCACATTGATTTCTCTCCAAGGGGCTTAACACTCCACGTTCCTATTTTCCTGCCATGACTGTAGTCTGCCCTGCCACAGTAAGAACTATGCTACCATGAATGGGTAACATTGCGTCGGGTTATCAATAACCGTAAATCTTGAGGAAAAAACGCGCCGAGTCCTTGTATGGGTGATCACGTAGGGTATTGTCTTCCTACACAATCCTTTTGTGAAACTGCATGAATGCTATTAAAAAATTTGTTCCAAAGCTCCGTGAACTGCTTTTTTTTTTTACATAGGCTTGCTTACTGAGAAAATGAGTCCACAGGTCGACGGCACGCATTAGCAATCTAAGAAGAATTCAGGCAAGCCACAAGAAGCACCTATGGGGAACCCAACTCTGAAGTAGGAGTAAGGCTGCTACTGAAACCCTTCAGTTTCCAATGTGGAAAAAATGTGATTTCGTTTGTTCTCTCTGATTCGCGCGTAGGGGCGAAAGAGTAGGCAACAAAAATGAGAAATCACTGCCGTCCTGCGTGTCGATCGTTTCTGAAGAGAGCGTACAAACGTAAATTCGTCTGCGGATCCATGAAAGTCAGTGCTGAATTCTTTGACCATTTCGAGGTCTCTTGCTCCCGTTGGAATGCTTATTTACAATTCCGTCAATACAATGCAAGCCCTCGTTCCCCATTCCTTGACCCGCTATGATCGAGTGCTGCCTCAATACAGTTGAGTTGAGAGAGAGAAAGCGGGGCCTAACTCGGGCGGAAATTCTCTTATCCCACACATATGGCAGCTTTTTCATGAAATTATTCTCCATCACTTCATCGGTGATTGCTTTGAGCGATCGTATTGACGACTATCTCCCTCTATTCCTCCGTCAATAACGCCTCGAAAATGTGCAGGCACGAATTTGCGGTGATTCACTGTCTGATTTTGAAAATCCACCAGGATGGGAAAAGCTTTGCCGAGATAGCCCGAACTGCTGATCAATGGAAATATGCGGATAAGGTCATTCGACATTGGCTTTGGAACTTAGTTCTTCTACCCTGCCACGTGTCGAATCGTCCTCAAGTTATTGTGGCTGAGTAGCCTATTCTTAGTTGCTTCATCTGCGCTATTGGCAACAACTTCTGCAATCCGAACCGGAGAGAATTGCAAGGTGTGTTTGCACGATCCTGATCGGTTCACCCGATTCCGAGCTGCAAAGATTAGCTATGGTAAACGTTGCGCCATTTTTTAAATCTGAATAAGAGTCCTTATACGAATGTTTCAAAAAGATCTGCTCTTGCTTTTGAAGTTGGCCAATTGGAACATTCCCAGAGTCTCCTATTTGTCAATGTAAAGGTGAAATAGTCCCCGTTAGAGCTATGCCCCGCGCCCCTTATTCTCAACCGAACGGCCCTGGACTGTAAATAGGGTGCTCTACACTCTTATCGCTCCCTTTCTCGGAAATCGCTCACTCTTTATATTTTAAGTGTATGTATCAGCATTCGATAGGGAAGGATTGAAGAAGTTGAGTTTGGTTTGATATTGAAAACCCTCGTTCTAGGACTCATTTCGTGATTACGAGAGCTTCACAAAACTTACTGTTCGAGTTTTTCATTATCGACTCAATGGATGTCGGCAATCTTCCTGTGCCGACTTCAGTCTGTAGAGGTCGACAGCAATCCGTATCGATCCAATTTCTCTTAGACACAATCAAGTGCTGATAACGTTTTCTGAGTTGATCTTGTTCTATGTCGATTCTCTTCTTTAGAACCCAACCGTGCGAGATGACTGAGCAGTCTCGGAACACTATCGTTCCTTGACCAGTCACCAGGACCTCGACCAATTGACTTTTCCTCTCATTCACCAATACGACGCGATAAAGTTAGCAACCAGAAACAAAAGGGCCCATGGATTCGCTTCCGCTCTGAAAATTGACCCACTTGACCCACCCCCTCTTCCCCTTCCTCCCTAAACTTAACTCCTGTAACCTCTAACCTCGGAATACTCGATTTGGTACGATTGGTCACCACATCTAGAGACGGCCTCAGTTCTCGGGGGTTTCTCATCCATAACTTGCAGGACTTGCACTCGGAAATAAGCGCTCAACTTGGTTTTGAACGCCTGCAGGCTCGCTACCGACCGAGCCAATCATCCTCTCACCAATAGATACGTGAAGTTAGCATGACAATGACATGTAGGAACCTAAAGTCATAGAAAGGATCGTATTTCACACTAATCTGCACGAACCAACTAACTTCAGTGACCGAATACCCCCCACATTCGAAGTGCTATGCTTTAGTGGAATTGAAGGAATGATAACGAAGTTTCATGCGGATGCTAGATCTTTTATAAAGGCATTGCAAACCAATTTCATTCCTATCAATATTACAACGAGCACCCGACTGTCACCCAACCAGTGAAAGTCAGCGTTCCACTTTTTTTCAAAAGGTAAAGATAGCATATATTTCTGCGATTTTTACAGCAACTAGTGAACTAAATACATAAATTGTCTTGCAATTGTCTACAATGTTAGGGTAGATCAACCGGCATTGTATTGACTCTATTTCTATATTTCACCCTGTGCTGATCAGTCTTGAATTTCGCTGCAAAGATAAGAAGTCCTATATGAAAATGCAATAATAAAAAAACAAAAACCGGTTAGAGTCGTCCTTCCCCCCTAATCAGGCAAACGGCAAGTCGAAACTTCCAGCGCCAATCGTAATTCGTACTTCTCTGCATCATCTAAGAGAAGCTCAACATCCGCATTCGTACCACCTGTTTTCATTGGTTTTCTAACGTGCCGTCCTCCATAATTGAAAAATTAGGGCGAGTACTTGCCCTCTCTTGTAGCTACTATTAACTGAAGGGGACTTTTAATCCCCTTAGCGTTATTAACTAAAGAGAAATAAACGAACTCACCCTTAGCCCACAAGCAATTGGCTCATTTCCCATTCTGCTTTTACGAGGTGCATTCAAGAAGTACTGATTGACCACTAATTCTTTACTCGTTACAATCTGGAGGTTGCTTATTCATTTGAAAAGTCTACTTGTGAGTTACAGTCTGAATTTGCTTTTAAAAAAACCAGTAGCAGCACATTTCGTTTGTCTGTTTTGAGCACTGGTTGAATATGCCAACATTTTCTGAAGTTGAATGAAAAACCAAAATCAAATATTTGACACTGCTAAGAAGAAAGCGGCTAACATTCATCAGCTATGGAGTGAAATTTTGAGGGATACTTGCCTGGCAGAGCCTACCATAAGAGGAGGAGTGAAAGCCTTTCGAGATGGCAGAGAATATTTTGAAGATGGCCCACTTCTAGGCCGTTGACAGAACCATTTGTCAAAAGTTGTGACCTTGTGGATGGGCTTCGTTATGGGAAACAGACGAAAATTAGTCTTGGAAATATTAGAACGTTGCGGCATTTTTATCGCATCAGCTCACGCACTTCTGGTAGACATGCTTCACGTGGGGAATATATCATTTTGATGGATTCCAAGGCAACTCACAGTGGACCAGATGGCTGTGTAAGTGGGCATCTGTTGACAGTAAGGGCCTAGTTTTCTCCGAAGCGATGGGTTCCTCACCAGGATTGTCATGACGGGTGAAGCCTGGGTACGTCTCTACTGCTGAGAAGAAAACGGTAGTCAGCTCAAAGGAAGCATCAAAGTTCGCCGCCTTTTAGAAATGTCCAGCAAAGTTTAACAACGAGATCAAGTACGCGGTGTTTAGGGATAGCAAAGGTGCCCCTGTGGCCCAAACCATGACGAAAGAGACAACGGTCATTGGAAAGGCTTACCTAAACATAATTCACAGGCTCCTGTCTTCAATGGCACGGGAGCGACTGGAGTGGGCCCAACTTCTTCATCCTGCTCCATGATGATATTCCTCCCTCATCGTGCCGACATCGTTCGTAAGTTCTTGGAGGAAAGAGACATGGAGTTGTGGTTCCATGCCCCTCATTCTCCAGACCTATCCCTCAGGGATCTCCACTTGTTCCCAGGCTCAAGGATCAGCATCGTGACAAAATATCCTAGTTGTTCAATTCTGGGATTGGCCTCTTACCTGTGGATTAAACCCTACCTTAAGAGTTCTTCAAGAGAACCACTCTACAGGGTGGCTGTACAGTCTGGAAACATAGGATATATTAAGAGAATTTTGGAAATGCCAATTTGCTTAATCGGGTACATCAACACTTCAAACATCGCCTTCAAATCTGTATTGATTCAACGGGAGAACATTTTGAACATTTATTTTAGTTTATCTGTATATTATCTTAATATATCCCTAATACGATCCTATGTTCCCAGACTCTATGGCTACCCTGTAGATTGACTGGAGGGATGTGAATAGCGTGCGTGTAACGGAGATTATGTTGAGAAATTGGAACAATAGAATTATTTGCCTATTGAAATTTAGTAAATCAGTTCTGGTCAGCTCTTTTTGAATGCACATCGTAAAATCCTACATCTGAGAATTCGTGTTCATCAGGAGACATTTTCCCATTTGAAGAGAGAGATCCCCCTGCACTACGCCGAGTTTAAGAAATTCATAAAATTCGTCACTTACCAGAATTACGTCTCGGAATTCTTGGAACGCTGCTGCAATAATTAATCAATTTCATAATGGAGGACTTTCAGTCCTTAGTTGGGTGACGAAAAGTTCCCATCAACAAGGCAAAAAAGTCATTGTCTAAACAGAATGACTGCCCCAGAGCAAAAGCGTAATGTAGATGGAAAAAGTGGGGGAGGGTGCGACATGGGAACTCAGGGACACTATTCTGATGCATTTCATCCACCCTTCTTAAATTGCTTCAAAAAAAAAAAAAGGGGGGGGGGACTACAACACC